CTTGCAAGAGGACCTGGGTTTGATTTGTAGCACCCAAGTTTGACTGCTAGCACCCACATCAGGTAGCTTACAACTGCCTCTATCTCCAGTTCCAGATCCGATGCCCTCATCTGCCCTCCTCAGGCATCTGCACACACGGGTCACACAAACACACAGATATATACATATCCATAAGTAAAGATAAAACTTTTTTAATGCAGGGGATATAAAGATATTTTCAAATAGTTGACTTGCAAAGCCAAGTGTGGTGGTGCACAACTGTAATCTCAACATGAGGAAATAGACAGGAAAATCAAACGTTCAAGGCTATTATTCTCAGCCATAAATTAAGCTTAAGGCTAGCCTGAATAGCATGAGACTGGGTCTTTAAAAAAAAAAAAAAAGTTGACTTTCAATAGACATTCAGTACAAATCTTCTAACAACTCCAAGAGTCAGACAATAGAAGCAGGAGAATCAGGAACTCAAGACCAAACTCAACTATTTATCAAGCTCAAGGCCAGCCTAGACTACAAGAGACCTTCCACAATAGGTGCTTCTGAAAAATACAAACTACTCAAACTTCAAAGCAAAAATCAAGATCAAGGAACCACTAAAATAAAAAAGGTATGAGTATAATATAAGTATATGTAAGCATTCATCAGTTTTGTGGGTGGTGTACTAATTTCAGAAGATAATGCAAGAGGAAAAAGGAAGAAACCAGAAGGAAATATAGCCTGGGCAACTATAACAAGAAGGGAGACTTTGAACAGCACTTAAAATTTCTAAGTCATACATGATTCAGGAAGTACTAAAGGCTTTAATTTATAAACTTTCTTTTTAACATATGGAGAAGTCAGAGGAAATTTCAAGGAGTCAGTTCTCTCCCTCCATCACATGGGTCATAAAGATAAAACGCAGGTCATCAGGCTTGGTGGTAAGCACTTTTACCTGCTGAGCCATCTCATGGACACAAGAAGTACTGTTTCAAATTACATAGCTCACTAAAAAGTTAAGCCACTACATATATATATATATATATATATATATACACATACATACATACATACATACATACATATAACATATAATCATAAAAAAGCAGATGGGAGCTGGAGAGACCACTCAGTGGTTAAGTGGTTAACCTCTGCTCTTTCAGAGGACCCAAGTTCAAACAATCATCTGTAACTCCAGTTCCAGAGGACCCAACACTCGTTTCTGATATTCTTGGAAGTCAGGTATGAATATGATATACATACATACATTCAGGCAAAAGACTCACACACATAAAGTAAATAAAATCTTTTTAAAAGTATATCATAAACTGGGCAGTGGTGGTGCATACCTTTAATCCCAATACTTGGGAGGCAGAGGTAGGCAGATCTCTGTGTGTTTGAGACCAGCCTGATTTACAAAGAGAGTTTCAGGACAGTCAGTGTAGGAGGTGCAGCTTAGAGCAAGAATTGGTGAAGCCAGAATTGTTAAGCACAAAGGCCTATTTTCTTCAAGGGAAGGAAATGATGGCTGTTCACCCAGAAGGCTGGAGTGGCCTGCTGATCCTTTGTTATTCTATTAGGAGCCAGTCCACACCTGAATCCCCCAAATCCTGAGCATTGTTTAAACCCTAATCCTGAGTTTTGTCTCAGTGAATAAAACCCATCTTTGTGAAAGGGTCCTGTGTACTTTACATCCTCCATCAATAGAACCCACTCTTATGCTGATGACAAATCCTTCTTCCCTGGGCTCTTACACTCAATAGAACTCATTCTTATTGTAAAGACCATCAGAGCTTTGCTACTTTGCAAGGAAGTTTTGATGTAGTCATCCCTGAAGCTTAGCTGTGGTAATAGTCATTTGGAGACTATTTTCCAAAATTTTACTGAGTTTAAATGTGTAAGAAAAATGAGAGGTCAGGCTACAAAGTGAGTTCCAGGACAGACTCCCAAAGCTACAGAGAAACCCTGCCTTGAAAAAAATAAAATAATTAATAATATAAAATATATACATATATAATAGTGGAATATACATATAATAGTGGAAAAGTGAATGAAATTCAAAGTCTACAGTATATTTAATAATATTATGCTTCCTAGGCACAGTAGCAAATGCCTATAATTGCAGCACTTGGGAGGTGGAAAAGGAATTCAAGGTCCTTCAGCAGAGGACCTGTGCCCAATGCCCAACACTCACATGGCAATTCCCAACCATCTGTAACATCAGTTTCAGGGAACCTGAAACCTTCCTGTGGCCTGTGAACCCCAGGCACACACATGATGTACATGCACAGATGCAAATAAAACACCCATACCCAAAATAAACAGAAAATGTAAAAAGAAATTTTTCACACTGCAAAAGACATTGTCAAGAGAATGAAAAGACAGCCAGCAATGGAGCCCACCTTTAATTGCGAGGCAGAGGCAGGAAGATCTCTGTGTTAGAGAACAGCCTCGGGCTACATAGGGAAACCCTGTCTTTTTTTTTTTTTTAAAAAAAAAAGGCAATGGGGATGGAGGTTGGGCCATAGACTAAAAGATATACAAAAGTTAGGATAAAGGATTATTATTTAAAAATAAAAAAGAGTCAGGCATGATGGTATACATCTTTAATCCCAGCACTCGGAAGGTAGGGTGGAGGGAGGTCTCTGAGAGCTCAAAGCCAGAATGGTCTACCTTGCAAGTTCCATGTCAGTCAAGGACATAATAAATTCTGTCTTGAAAAGTACAAAAACAAGGGCCAGAGAGATAGGTCAGAGATTAGCACTGGCTGCTCTTCTGGAGGCCCTGAGTTCAATCCCCAGCAACCACTTCGTGGCTCACAACCATCTATACTGAGATCTGGTGCCCTTTTCCAGGGTACAGACTGAACATTGTCTATATAAGAAGTAACTAAATCTTTTTAAAAATCCAAAGCTATAAATAATATTCTACTGATGCTAACATTATATTATCATTTGCACTAAGTTTTCTGTCTGTTCTGGAACTCACTGTAGACCAGGTTTGGCTCAAACTCAGAGATCCTCCTGCCTCTGCTTCCTAGTGCTGAGACCAAAGGTGTGCGCCACCACACCTGACTTCGATTTCCTATCCTTTTAAAGATTACTTGGAGAGCTACCCATCTCAAATAAAATCACAATTTGTAAAAATGATGGCTAATACTGTCTAACTGACAGGATATAGAATCCTAGAGACAAGGCTCTGGATGTGCCTATGAAGAACTGTCTAGACAGATAAGGCTAACAGGGTTACCCACCATAAGTACTAGCAGCACCCCTGGGTTGGGGTCCCAGAATGCATTAAAAAAAGGCTATGAACTGCTAGCTGTTATCCCTCTCTACTTCATGACTGCAGCTACAATGTGACCAGCTGCTTCAAGCTCTTGCTGCCATGACTTCTCCATCACAATGGACTGTACTTCAAATATAAGCTAAAGTAAACCCTTCCGGAGGTGGAAAATGCCTCAGCGGTTAAGATGGCTTGCTGCTCTTTCAGAAGAAAATAAGCACCTAGCACCCACATGAGGTGGCTCACAACTGCCTATAACTCCAGTTCCAGGACGTCTGACACTCTCTTCTGGTCTCTACACATGGCAGAAACACATGCACACACATAAGAATAAAATTAATTTTTTTAAGATTTACTTATTATGTATACAATATCCTGCCTGCATGTATGTCTTCACACCAGAAGAGGGCACCAGGTCTCATTACAGATGGTTGTGAGTCACCATGTGGTTGCTGGGAATTGAACTCAGGACCTCTGGAAGAGCAGCTAGTTAAGAGTTTTTAACCTCTGAGCCATCTCTCCAGCCCCCTAAAATTAATCTTTTTAAAAATAAAAAATAAACTTTCCGTCTTAAGTTGCTTTTGTCAGCTACTGCATCACACCAGTAAGAAAAGTAACTAAGACAGTGTGAATTACAAAATACAAACTGGTGCTGGGCATGATGACTCACTCACTCCTCACTCAGGAGGAAGAGGCGGCGGGCAGATCTCTGTGAGTTCGAGGCCAGCCTGTTCTATATAGGAAGGTCCAGGCCAGCTTGGGCTACACAGTGAGACCCTATCTGAAAAAAGGAAGAAAAAGAAAAATGAAGAAAAGGAGAAAGAAGGCTTCTAATTTGAGACATAAACACTTCACTAAAAACAGATTGATTATTCAAAACAGATACAAATTAATTTTAAATTTATCCAAGTGGTTACTCATAAAACAGAACAAGAAGAAAAAGCATTACTATGTATATTTGCTGCTGTCGGAATCCTAGTAACTAGATGTTAAGCCAAAAAATTCTCCTTTTGAGAATATTTTGAGAAGGATTCTATCCTTCCTGTAATAAAAGTCAAAAAATGAAGGCTGGCTGGAAAGTGGTGGTGCAGGCCTTTAGTTCTACCACTTGGGAGGCAGTGGCAGGCAGATCTCTGAGTTCAAGGCCAGCCTGGTCTATAGAGCTAGTTCCAGAACAGCCAGGGCTACAGAGAAACTCTGTGTCAAAAAATGAAGGAAGGAAGAAAGGAAGGAAGGAAGGAAGGAAAGAAGGGCTGGGAGATGGCTCAATCGGTAAAGTGCTTACCATGCAAACATGGGGCCTGTGTTCAGATCCTCAGCACCCATACAGAAATGTCAGGTGCAGTGGCATGTGCCTATAGTACCAGCATCAGGATGGCAGTGATAGGAAGATCCCTGGGGCTTGGTGAATTAAGTAAGTCCAATCTAATCAGTGAACTCCAGGTTCAACGAGAGACTGTCTCAAGAAATAAAGTAAAATGACTGAGGAAAGCACTTGACATTCACCTCTGACCTCCACATTCATGTGTGCACACACATGCACCTGCACCTGCATGGGCACATACACATGAACACAGGTCAAAAAACTTAGAAAATGTTCTATATAAATGAGAATAATAATTCCTTGTTTTCACTCAAGAACAATCCGAGTTAAAACAAGCTTCAAACTCTTCCTCTGTACAGTGAATTTATGTCTATATGTGTGTATTTACAGAAGTATAGACACAGAAACACATACACACCTGGGCAGTCTACTAAGGCTCTGTTCATCAGTCTGTCAGAGTACGTACTTCAATACAAACCTAAAGTGAAGAGAGAAAAAATAATCTTTTGTGTAATATTTTCTACTTTTATAGTAGAGATATATATTACCTACCTCTCAATTTTTAAATACACTATTTTCACGGTTACATATTTAATTAACCAGGTATACCCACACCCCTATTCCCAACAGCAACATTAGCCATAGCATCTTTAGTGAGTACTGAGACTAATATCAGATGACTACTATAATTGTTATTGTATGTTTATATTCCCTCTGAAATATATTTAGGCTTTTTCTTTTTTTCGATAGCTTTCAAATTTATAAAATTTATCTTATTTGTTTGGGAAGCGGGTACACAAGCCACAACCCTGTGTGGAAGTTAGAGGACAATTTTATGGGGTCCGTTCCCCTTTTCCCTTCAGCTGGGATCTGATCTGGGACTGAAGGTCTAAGCTGGCCCAGGAAAGACTTTCCCTGAACCATCTCGCCAGCATTCTTTTTCAGTAGTTTTTAGGTTTCAAAAATATCCTTTCAGAATATTCCTCTTTACTTCTGGCTTACACTGATTTAATTTCTAGTAAGTCAAACCTGAAATGCAGCAAGAAAAAAATAAGCCTTAAATATTTTGTTACAAAGAAACCTGTTTGGGATTGAGAGACAGCTCAGCAGTTAGGAGCATTTATTACTCCTGCAGAGGACCCAAGCTCAAATCCTGACACTCATGCAGAACAGCTCATAACCACCTAGAACTCCAGCTCCAGGAACCTGACACCTCTGGCTGTCTTGGACAGCTGTACTCAAGTGGACACACCCACACACAGACACACTCACATAGGCACAATTTTTAAAAAAATAATACAAGTAGCCGGGCGGTGGTGGTGTACACCTTTAATCCCAGAACTCAGGAGGCAGAGGCAGGCAGATCACTGTGAGTTCGAGGCCAGCCTGGTTTGGAAAGTGAATTTCCAAGATAGACAGGGCTGTTACATAGAGAAACCCTATTTTGGGGGGAGGGACAGTAATAATACAATTAAGTCTGGTAGGGTGGCTCACAACTCCAGCTGTGAGGATCTGATGCCCTCTTCTGATCACTGCAGGTGCCTATACACAAGCATGCACATAACTACACACTAAGTCACCAAATTTAAAAAGAAAAACTGGCAGAACCAGGCATGGTGGAATGTGCCTGTGATTTCAGCCAAAAAAAAACAGTGAGCTTGAAAAGAAGAGCAAGACCCTATCTCAAAACCGCCATCAAGACTTAGGTAAAAGCACAAAGAAAACAATTTGTGGTTCTCTATTGAGAAGTGCTGGCTTGGGTGGTTACAGCTGTCTTGTAAAAGCCCCTCTCCCTTTCTTAATGTAGACTGTAAATACTACAAGATCAGTGCTAACATTAATCCCATTTTACAGGTGAAGAAACTGAGGCTTATTGTATAGTCAGGATTTAAAACAAGGAATGCCAGCTCCAGGACTTTTCTCCTTAATTAATATAAGAAATCAAAATTTTAATTTTTGCCCCAGCCACAATGACTTAGGCCTGTAATGCTAGCACTCATAAGACTAAGGCAAGCGGACTAATTCAAGTTTAGATCAGCTGGAGCTACATAGTAAGTTCTAGGTCAGCCTATGCTACAGTGTGAGGTTCTGTTGAAAGTAAGAGTTCGATTTATATGATTATAAATTAGCAGCATGTGACTATCAATGAAACAAACCTACTGGTTTAAAGTCAGTGTAAAGCCAGGAATAGTGGCTCACATCTACTAGCACTGGGGGAGAAGGGGAGGAAAAAGAGGTGGATACCTGCTAGCAAGCCAGCCAGACTAGCCAATCAGCGAGCTCATATTTCTGTAAGAGACTGACTCAGATAGACAGGGTGGAGAGCACTAGAAAAGTGGCTTGAGCTCTCACCTCCACATATGGGCTTGTTCAGACAATGGCATTCACATGTGCACATACACATTAAAACAGAGAGAACAGTATAATCCACAAATAAGTCACTAGTCCTGTGAAGAGCTTCAAAAGGACAGAGGAAAAAAAAACTCTTTAGTGAGTTCCAGGACATCCAGAACTATAGTGAGACCCTGTCTTAGAAAAAAAGAAGGGAGGGGGGGAGGGGGGAGGGAGGGGTGGACGGAGGAAGGGAGGGAGGGAGGGGAAGGGAAAGAGGGGAGGAGGGAGGAAGGAAGGAAGGAAGGAAGGAAGGAAGGAAGGAAGGAAGGAAGGGAAAGGAAGGAAGGTTGGTTTGCCTAAAGAAGAAAAGAACCGCCAGGTGAGCTGACATGCTCATGTAATCAAAGTATTCTGCAGGCTGAGGCAAGAAGATTCCTGTAAATTTAAGTCCAGCCTGAGCTACCTAGTAGATAAATGACCAGCCTGAGCCACACAACAAAACTAGCAGACTAGGAGAGAAGAAATAAGAGGACAATTAATTGTATGTAACTTGAAATATCTGAAATGAAAACATACTATGAAAATACAATTACCAGCTCAATAAAAGAAATAACCAATAAAAATTGGGTTAGGTGTGGTGGTACAAGCCAAGCCTGTAATCCTAGCAACTGGGGGGGGGAGGGGGGAGAGTGGAGCTAATGCATGAGGATTACTGCAAACGTGGGCTGCAAAGTCAGTTTAAGACCAGCCTGGAATGCTTAGCAAGAACCTGCCTCAAACACACACACAAAAAGTTATTCAAGTAACTTTGTCTCTGAAACTACGAAACTGTGAATGACCTCTCAAAAATGCATAAATACAAATTATTTTGCAAACCACTTCTAAGGGTTCATTAGCCTTTATTTAAATAATTTATGGATCTTTAGAGTCCTGTATTACAGGTTAAAATGAAAAGGAGTAAAGTATATTTAAATTTTCTACCTCTCTCTCTCTCTCTCTCTCTCTCTCTCTCTCTCTCTTTTTTTTTTTTTTTTTTTTTGAGGAGAGCACAGGTGTAGAAAAGTTAGAGGATAACTTTCAGGAGTTATCCTGAAACTCCATGCACCCTGTGGGTCCCAGAGAAAGAGCTACGGTCAGCAATCTTGGTGTCAAGCACCTTTACCCACTGAACTATCTTGCCAGCCCCAATTTACATTTAATCGGCTTTAAAATTCTTACAAACTCCCAGTCTTTATGATCCATTATGACACATACTGCAATGAGTCTAAAATATCGTGAAAAGAATGTACATCCTAGTGGGGCAGTGGTAGCACACATCTTTAATCTCAGCACTCAGGAGGCAGAGGCAGGTGGACCTCTGTGAGTTCAAGGCCAGCATGGTCTACAAGAACTAGTTCCAGGATTGCTAAGACTCTTATATAGAGAAACCCTGTCTCAAAACACAAAACAAAAGAAAAAAAAAGAATGTGCATCCTATATAAAGGTGGGGTTTTGTTATTACTCTTATTTTCCTAGTGCTGGGCATCCAAATAGGATTTAGGTAATTACCCTACCACTGAGCTATGGCCCAGCCCTCAAACTGTACTGAAAGCTCAGTTAATTTTGGCTGCATGGATAAAACTTGCATATGCCAAGGACTACACATTCACAAGGATGGAGAGGAGGGAACTACAATCACAAAATATTAATAGGAATAATTAAAACTCAACTTCCTTTCTTAAGTAAACGGCATGTAATTAAGGTAACTGGGGCATTTAATAATCTCGGGCCTTTCTTAACAAATGTAAGCGCTGCATTCCTGAAACTGCAACCGCATGCCAGCACCGTGCTACAGACACCATGTCTGCCATAACACTAAGCTAGTTCCAGGCACAAGATGTTCTAAAACTAAGCCCGTCCAGAGCCAGGACACAAGCGTGACAGAACCTGGGGTCTGGCCGCTGAAGTTATCTCCTGA